TACGATTAGCATCTGTAATGCATGAAAGACTCTGCACACTCAAGATTTGATATAGTTAGTATTGAAAACTTGAGTTTTTGTTATACTTGAGGGTATGGGTGTGGATTGTGGATGAGCAGGAGATCTATATCCACACCCATACTCTTCATCGCTTTTTATAACTTTGCCACGTCTTCTAAGAATTTTATCAATCATTCTTCTACCATAATTATAAGTTATTTTGTTCCATGCTTTTTACAATCTAGTTTTTATGTGTTAATGCCTGAAAATTGTTCACTGCGTACCTTTTCCCTTTCATATTCCGTATACATTTTTAATTGGTCCTGCCTCAGCAGATTTAGTATCACCATCTGGAGATAAAATAGGAACATTAAATAATTTATCAATAGCTGATAATTCAATCTTTTTTTGTTCTACCTATGATGTATTCATATATTTTAGTTCATTGCAAACCGATTATTCAGCATGTTGCTTGGCTAAACATGTCACCAACGGTTCATGATGAGTGTCAAATTATGAAGATCAACGCGACTACTCAAACTTTATACAAAGACATTCAGTTTGAGATTATTTTCTGTTTGCATATAAACTCATTTTTGTCAAACCTCAAAACTTATGAAGCATCCTGTATGGAGGCACGCAACTGTACACGTGACTGCAAACAAACATATGTACATACATACCAGTTTAATTTTTTCGTATGACTCTTCTTTCAGTCAAGGGATAATCATTATTTTCGTAAAAAAGCCTTTTATTCATGAAAAAATTCAAACTCAAAGTTCTGAAAAACTGATTACTGATTTGAATTCCTCGACTCCGATCACCTTTGACCAAACTTTATAAAAACTCGATATCTCCTCAATAGTATGTGTACGCGTGACTCAAAACGTGCTTACAAGCATACAAACTCATTTTATTTCATATGACCCTTCCTTGAGTCGAGGGAATGAACGAATATAACTTAACCTATATCGATAACATTTTCTTCTTTTATTCAAAAAGGAAGTACGATGACGATAAGTCCATTATCTGTATGTTAAGTGCGCAATAAATTATTTTGTCCTTTTTCTCTTCTTAATCTTTAAAAGAGAAACATATGAAAAATATGTCAGCTTAAAAGAAAAGGTCACTCATCTTTGTCCTCATGCCTATTTACTTTCTTTTCAATAGAGTTGGATGCTCAAGACTATTTATAGAAGCTGATCTAAATCTATCTTTTTGTTTTATTGTTGATTAATGATTTGACATGCGAGATGCGTCAAACGGTAAAGTATGCACTCTTGAAGTCTATAGCTTTTACTTGATTTTGCTTAGCTGTGGGAAGAATCCAGGGAAAAAATCTCTCAAAACTAAAGAGAAACAGTTCTTTGTGTCAGCTTTTCAGTCAAATAAATTCTCAGCTGTAGCCTATATTTCTTTTCCGCCATTTCTTCGTATTAATAAATTTATGGAGAAATTCAGATTCATTTCGCGTCATCAGAATGGTAGTCTCTTAATGAAAGGTGTTATAAGAAACCATCGAGGGGTTTAGCGAAGATCTTGAATTTTTTAAGGTTCGACTCCTTTATTACTAAACTATCAAAGGTTCTACATTATTTACAGAATAATTTCAAGTAAAAAGTGGTTCCAAGTGTTTAGAAGAATTCTATCGTGCACCCTTTTCTTAATGCTGAATACTCCTTTTACAAGGATGATTTTAGCACAAGTCTCTTGAGCTACACTGAAAAGAATGTGTCAAACGAATTCATCTATCTATCATTCATATGGCAGTTGGGTTTGCATATTTCATTAGTGCATCTAGGGTTCATATTTTTTCATGCGGAACCACTTCTAGGATCAATATAAAAAGCATCGAAAATATCGCCATCAAATGTTTTTGACACAATCGTTGGAACCTTAGAATTTTGTCGACAGAAACAGAGCTTTGCACGCTAAACAGCTCTTTACGTTTGAATTTCATGAATCACTTCAATTATTGGGTGTACTACAGCTTTTGCGACGTTAATTGTTTGAGCGCCTTGACATTAAAAAAATGCTCAACATTTTGCATATGATAGAATGGTAGTTCAGCAAGCAAATTTAAACTATTAAAGTATATTTCGTTTCGAGTGACTTGGCCTCTGTCGCGCTCAAATGGGTTTAGGAAATACGACATTTGTTCATTTTCACTTTAAAAAAACAGACGAATAGATAAAAGAGACAGGCGTAGACGTGCAAACGTGTGTGTCAATTTAACTGTATGAACACAGTTATAAATATACACATGCAGACAGACCAATAGACACATATGCAACATATTAGATATACGTGAAGATATTAAGACATAGACATAAGAGTTCAAATATAGATATAGGGGTTAATATAGAAATAAAGGATTAGATAAAGAGAAAACGGTTAAGGCATATAAATAAGGAGCCAGATATGAAATTATTCAGCAGTACTAAACAAAGTATGTTGGATGGACTGCTTTTTACTAGGATAGAACCCTCTTTTACTAAAACCTTAAAAATTTCAATATGACACCTTTTTGTTTTTACAGAGTATCTTACGAAAGTATTGCATAGACTATATTCGGAAAAGTACATCATTACTATGTCACAGGCACTATTGGATATTTATATATTTAAAGTTTCACTCAAAACGTAGTTAGCTGCATAGTTCAGTGAGGAGATGACCACACCTCCCTTCAAGAAATGTTTCTCGATACTTTCCAGCACAAACGAACGAAAAACGAATTTATACTACCATGAATGAGCCTTAAAACGTGATTTGTGCCTATGATTGCGCCACCCTTCGAAAATCCTATACCTGCCACTGGCGTAGCTGAAACATGTTCAGTCACGCATACTTGAAGTTGTTACTCAGATGTTGGACAGAATCTAAGTACATAGTGTTTTTAGGTGTCTGTTTACTAGAGGGTAGATATATTCAGTTCTCTCACGATTCAGTTCATTTTCTCTTTGAATTCGGCACAGTTTCATTAAACAACTGAGTGGATTGTGCCAGTCAATAAGAGAACAATTAATTCTCTTTGTAATATTGAAAATAAGTATTTTTGTTTGAGAGAACATGTCTGTTTTATTAAATCTAGAGAGAAAAAAGTCTTCTGTTATGCATTGTTGGTTTGTTCCATTGAAAGACTACAAACTGGTAACTGACTGTGAAAGAAAGAAATTTTTAGAGAGAAAGAGAAAACACAAGAAAAAAAGTTAATTGATGAAAATCCTTCACGTTCCCCTCACTAATCGTATGTCTTGCTGAAGTATCGCTTTTTCCTATTTATTCATCTGCTAATACGATGGTACGAAACAGAGTAGCTAGAGGAACAAGAACAACAACACAAGCAAGAATAACAACAAAAAAAGTCGACGAACGGGGCACCCTCACGTATCAGAAAGTCTAGGATTGAATGGAGAACGAAATCCTAACCATGAAAGTTTTAATACACTTATCGGTTACTTTCTCTGTCAGAATTATCAAGAAACTTTCTAGCAAAACACTTACAGGGTAAAGGCAACCTGGCTTCGTAGCGGTACTTTCTGAGCATATAGAACTGAAGAAAAGAAATTTGTATAGACCTTTTCTAACAATAAAAGGAAACTACTGGGTCATTTTTTTTTGCACTAAGACACCATTTAGAATAATTTAAAAATATAAGCGTATTATATACAGTCATAAGCCATTTCCTTGTCAAGATTGTAACAGAAAAATAAGCAATTTGAACGAAGAGAAAGTATGAAGTCTACATTTAAGTAACAAAATAGTTTTTGGAAGCTTCTCATTGCATAATCCAACGAAATTTATAAAAAATAATTCGTCACAGATGATATAAGTCAAAAACAAAACCAAAAGATGAAAGCAGTAAGTAGTCATTTAAGACTACTCAATTTTTCTATAAAAAAAGAAATGGCCTAATCCGACCAGGAAAGCCCTATCACTTTGCTTGAAGCAATTTCTGAGTCGAAAAAAAAGGGTACCATATAAGTTTTAACAAGAATTCTAGATATATTGTTTTTCCATAACTCTAATGAGGTCATAGTGTGGAACTTTATAAGCTACTACTTCAAGAGATTTCACAGATCTGTGAAAACACTTTCTTCCATTCTACTTCGATTTAAGCGCATCATCAGCACAGTATTTCGATTGTTTTGTCTGTAGGAATAGCATTAAAGCAGCTCCTCTTATTACCGTTTCAAGTCTCTTGATACACTGTACAAAAGAATACGACACTCAAACAATAATGATATTTTATCGAAACTTGCACACCATATGGTAACGCCTTTGATTTAGTTTTTAATGAATTTTACTCTCCAATTCATATTGGGGAGTCTTCTTATTGCTCAATCTCTAAAAAAATATTGACTTGGCCGGCCAAATAGTACAGAAGCTCAATTTTCAACATAGTCTGAGAACTTATGACCCATAAGTGTGAAACAAAAATAAATTGCCTTTTCCTAAAGATATTTCGTACGAAAGTTTGCAAGTATTTCGAGGATACATTGTTCATAGCTGTCGGCTGAAGCAACAGATAGATAAAAAGGTAGAGAATTAGTCAGGTAGTTAAACGGATAGTTAATTAAGTATACAGAGATAGATAATTCGAATTTTTTATTGTAGAAAAAAGTAAATGTATATGTATCCTTTTTTTCGTGTAAAACGTTCGAATGGTTTAAAATCCGCTGCATTTTACCGAACTTTTCTAGGTTTGAGGCATAGTGCTAACAGGTACACCTATGTCTCGATATAATTTACGACAATCAGAAAGAGCAGTCCAGTAAAAAGCATAGAAAAAGCTCAAACATAAGTATCTTTTAATACTTTGTATAAATATCAAAGTATTATATGGCTGATATGAATGTTTTTAATGTAAAAGAAATAGAAAAAGAAAAGTTCGTAGTTTCAACTATTGTTCTTGTTATTCCTTTATATAGTTAATACGCAAGAACACGTCGAAAATATTTTCATTTTTGTTTTATATTCGATTTTTCATTTTTGTCATAATGTTATCATCATTATCATCAAATAATAACAATAATGATTCAAATATCATTGATTTATTATATCGTTTATGTAAAGAAAATGAAATAGAAAAAGTTCAAAATATTTTACCATTTATTGGTAATATAAATATTGTAAATAAAATTCAAAGTTCAACTGGTTCAACCTGTTTGCATGTGGCATGTTATTATGGACATCGAGATATGGTTAAAATTTTATTAGAATATGGTGCTGTACATTCCATACGAAATTTACGATACAATCTAACACCTTATGAAGAAGCTTATACAGATGATATAAAAGAATTATTTGCCGAACAACGGACATTATTTTCAAATAATAATGATTATGATTATATTGAATGGTCAGTGATAGGAGATGATCTCCTTGAAAAACGACGTGAATTTCGTCAAGCTATCGATTTATACAAAACTTATGACAATCATCATTTAGTATCAAAATTATTAGCTGAAGTTATTCATTATTATCTAAATGAATATCTGATAAATGAAAATAACAATACTAGCAATTCAAAAGATAATATTACTCGTGAACAAATTGCAACTATTGAAGGATATTTTAAAGAAGCCATAGAAAAACAAGATTATTTAACATACTTTATCAAAGCTTATACATTAACCAATTTTTTTTATAAAGTATTAAATAAAGATTTAGCTCTGTATATATTAGAATATTTCGATGAAACAAAAACTTTTTCATCGAATTATCGTCTTGTAAATTGCCTTGTTCACCTTGTTACACTGTTAATTTATCATCCAAATTTACCTCTATATCAATATCAAGGTATATGTTATCGTGGTATGAGAATAACAAACAATGATTTAGATCAATATCAATTAAATCATCACATTTTAAATCGTGCATTTTTATCAACATCTATTGATCGTCAAGTAGCTGAAATGTTTGCTGGTGAAGGTCAACAATCTCACATGAGATATACTCCTAAAAATCATTGTGTCTTACAATATTCATGTTTATGTAAATATTTAATAAAACAAAATTCAACAGCTATTAATATACAAAGTTTATCAACAAGACCCCATGAAAAAGAAATTTTAATTATTCCATTTACTGTTTTTAAAGTAACGGCAATTAAACGAAATTATCTTGATGATTCAACAGCATCAATTTCAATTGAAATTGATTTAGAAGAATGTGAAGATCCAAATGATGATAAAAATGAATTAGAAAGTAGTCTATTTTTTTTCTATATCTTGAAGAAAATTTCTTCTTCCGATTCTTGTTTCATTCAATTTTCAGGTAATAAAACATCGAGATCATCATCATTATCGTCATCTGATGATGATATCAAAGATACTGAAGAATATGTAAAATTTAAACAGCGAAAATATCTTCTTTATGGCATCATTGGACTTTTGATATTAGCTATTCTTTTAGGTTTAACCTTTACATTCATTTTTACTCTTGGTATTAAAAAAAATTCAACTGAATCAGAAAAAGATGATATTATCGAGTACCAATTACCATCAGGTAAAAATAAGGCAATAAAAAAGGCTAAAATGTGAAGCCTCTACTTAACTTCTTCGCTGTTACGGGTGTCACTTCTCAGTTTTCAAGTTTCTGAATACTCAATGTGTTCATAGTTTCTGGAAATCCAGTATTATATGTGTTGCTAGTTCTCGCGAACTCATCGCATGTCAGACAACAGGATATGCACTACTAGTAGCTTGTAAATTTTCTAGAAAATACAAATACATAAGACACGCAATGGTAAGAAATTACGAATATTTTGTCAATCTTTTCGATGTGCTATTAGTTTCCAGAAAAATAGTAACACATTGGAAACTCTAGTAAAGGAACCTTCAATTTTATTATCTGCATCTCCTGTGTATATTAGGTGTGAGGAAAACTTATAAAGTAGTGCTTTCTTTTTCTCTGACATGTGATAGGTTCTCAAGTTTCTGCCAACCAGTAACATAAATGTTTTTCAGATTTTTAGAAACACTAGACTCTTCATAAATTCAAAATAAAAGACTTTTTATAGGTGGTTTTGTTTCTTGGAGGCAGAAACTTGAAGCTCCTGTCTGAAATAAATATTTTTACTTTTGAAGAAATTAATTAAAATTCACACTTTCCTTATTAGCAATGAAAGCCACTAACTTTGAGTTCAGATTAGATAGTCACTGCATGAATTTTGTATTTTATCGAACTCAAGGGTGCATGTAAACTTGATGTCGCAGTTAACAGATTCATACAACTTGACATATTTATACTAGACTATTCTTTCTTTAAGAAGTACAAAATACACATTTTTTATGTATATTTCTTGTAGTTTGTCCGAATATATTAAATCGATCTAGTTGGAATGCACGTCCGTATAACAAGCGTGATCGTCTAACAAAATTACCGGTTACACATATTGTTATACGACAAGTAGAAGATTTGAAACCAATTATGAATCAACAAGATTGTACTAAAGCGATAAAAGACCTTCAAAATTTCCAAATGGATATACGAGGTTGGGAGGATATTGGCTATAGTTTTCTTATATGTAATGACAATAATGACCAACAACACATTTATAGAGGTAGAGGATGGACATATATCGGTGCACACTGTATTGGTTATAATTCCAGATCATTGGGTAAAAATAGGTTTCGTTTTTGTACTTTCTAAAACATTGCACTTTAGATTATTGGTCATTTGATCTTAATTTGATCTTAGTCTTTTTAAAAATAACTAAAATCTTTGATGATTTTTTATATGTATGCTTTGAGTAGGTAAGATAGAAGCAAAAACCGAACAAAACCATTTTGAATTATTTTACAATTCATGTACGTCAGGATGTCCATTTTTCGATCAAAATTTATACATCACAGTAATGTTACACAGCCATAAACCCTTGTTTCACAGAGATTCGAAACAGTCAAAGTGGCATTTCCTGTTTCGAGATCAAAAGCTGCGTCTGATAGTTTTGCATCACTGAAAAAACAGGGTTTACATCCTCAAAGTATCATTATGATATCTAAACTGTTTATGGTATATCGATATGAAGGTATCACAGTTGTAATGAATGATCAAAAATTCATAAAGAATATATTTGCAATAGCATCTTTCGTCATCACTGCCAATAATATACATTCCGTTTATGCTGCGTATACGTTGTCTTGACTTTGTTTTGGAAAGCTGACATTGACATAAGGGATAAAAGACTAAGATCATTGTGTTTTCCAGTCAAAGTTACCTAGATACGATGATTAAGATAAAACTTTATGACCAAGTGGAATCTAACTGGAGAAAAACCTCCATCCATTTGGAACTTCTAAAGACAATTCATTCTCTAAGATCTTTTTAAAGATTTCACACTGATTTTTCGACGAAGCTGTAGTTTTCATATGAAATTTTCATTAACTTAGTGTCAGCTGCCAATTTGACAGGTTTCTTAGTAGATAATTTCGACTAAAAATCTAGATTTTTCTCAAAAATCCGACTTTGGTAAGACGGTCTTGGACGAGCGGGAAGCTTTATAGAGATAAAATTTCAAAATAAGATAGGTTTCTGTCAGTTTTATCGACAGTAAAACTTGTAAATCTTTGTCTCTTTTTGAATAATGAGGTATGAAGTGTCAAAGTTACCTAAAATAGTGACTTTTGCTTCTATGAGTGAGATGTATCAAATATAAAGAGCACAACTGTTTGAATTGAAAAGCTTTTCTTACGAGTCAAACTCATTGAGGTATACATTCATAAAACGTTCAGTTCAATCGATCAAGCCAATGCTTGATATATAGTCTGCAAAACTCCCTCTGAAAAGGATCTTCATCTTAAAAGTTTTCGTTAAAAAGTCATAAAAAATCGAGGGTGCAATATGTCTGAAAACAGCTTGCGTTGGCGTTCATAAAACGATGAATTCTACGCCACACCGTAAATGAATCAAATCTCCGAATCTTTATTGAGCATGCGTCTTAAGCATTGGCCGCAGATTACATAGACTGGTTTATAATTCTTCTATTGATTCCCAAGTTATGTTTCGAGATTTAAAATCATGTTTTTTGTTTGATAAAAGGTATTGGTTTTATGGGTAATTACACCAGTACAAGATCTTTAAACACATTTAAATCCTTAATTCAATGTGGCATTACAAAGAATGTTATTTCAAAAAGTTTTACACTGGTTGGAAATTTAGATACAACAGATATTTACAAGTATTATTTAAAATATTTCAGAAATGACACTGATCTTCAGTATAGCAATCAAGCCAGCAGCACACTGGTTTTTTGTGATTAATCAACTTTTACCAATTTCAAAAGGATATTTTTCCCACTGAAATTCCAAGAAACTCATAGACAATCGCGAAATATTTGCTTAAGCATATTCGGGAACGCTTATTAGTAATATTTTATTTATTAATATATCATGATAACTCAGCAATAGATCAACACGAAACATTCAGATAAGTTGATGAGTCGTAGCGATAACATTTTTCGCAATCAACCGTATCTGGTTGGTCATTCGATCTGTTACTCTAGTTCTATGCGATATGCAAAATAATTTCTTTAAGGTCTCATTAATGTTATTCGTTCTATGGATTCCTCATTATCGTTCATTCGATTTTGTGCAGATACAAACAGTTATGACTCTGAAGAGCGACGAGCTTTACATGCGATAATTACATATTCTACGATCATTCCAATCCATCCAAATCCGCGATGAGTACAGACTTTTTCGAAGAATAGATTTCAATAGAATCATCACGTGATCTATGATGTGGGTGGGGTGTGAGTATTGATCATTTATTCGTCTACACCCATACTCACCGAAACCCTCATCCGCAAGAACATTATATTAAAAAAAAATTAATAAAAAAACGATTGATTTTCATATATGCAGCATTTCATTTAATTTTACTCAAAATAATGATATTAATTACTTGAAATTCCTCCGTAACTGATTTATAATTAACAGTATTAAAAATGAAAAAAATTAGAGTAATTTTTTTGAATTAATTTCTTTATCTTGATATTTAATAGTTCGACATGCCGTAAAATAAATAAGATAAGGAGAGTTGTGGGAGTCGGCGCCAGTGTAGATCTGTTTACTTCTGTGAGATATACACTTACCCATCCACTCTCACCTATACACTCATACCTGCACCCACACCCACATCCACATCCACACCCTTTATTTTACTCGCTTGAAAAGACAATTCGAAAGGCCTAGTGTTATTCATATTAATATTCCTCTTACTATTTCTCTTTTTTTCTTTCCTTCTTCTCTTATTATTTTTTTATTTTATTATCAATATAATAAAAGTAGTTACAAAAATAAAAAAATAAATAAAAAAAAAAAATTATTTATTTTATTCTCATTTATTATTATATATATAAATAACACAATCGTGTTGACTTGTCAAATAAAAAAGAATTCGATACCATAGTCTTTGAAAGCATGTCGAGATCAATTCTAATCAGTCAAGCATCGAGTCAATCTAAACTAATTTTTTGTCTGAAAGAGTAATGTCTGAACAGTGGAAAAGGTCACAATTTAGTCAAATTTTTTACTTTTGCTCGGGTAAAATTTAAATATGAAGCAACATTCAAAATATCTTTACAACCTGGTTTTTCGACGTTTTCAATAGTTGACTTCGCGATTTCGTCTGTTTCAAACTTCGAATTCAACTTATCAACAAATAGAGCTTTTCATTCCTTATCATTTCATCTATCTGGAAGTTATTCTTTGTTTTAGTTTTGGTTACATTGCTGATTAGAAAATTTACTTTTGTCATGTTCCTTCTCCTTGATTATCAGTTTGATAAAAGTTGTGTAATAGAAAAAAATAATGAGTAGGAAAAAGCTCTAACAATGGAGATGTTTGTATTGTCCGCCGAAAAAGTGGCACATATTCGGGTCAAATGAAAGCTCTCAACGTCAAACTAACAAGGTTAAAATATTAGCTGCTAAAGGCTTGCCTAGAGTGAGATATTTAACTTTTAAATTTAGGTATAATAATGAATGAGGAAAGGCTTTCTCTACTATTATAAGGACAAAACATAGTGTTGTTTCGAGGCGATTAGGGGGCTGGTAGGGTCCCTCTTTCAGNTATGAGCCATCGTTCATTTGAAGTTTTTCATACTTAGATCTATCTGACACGCATGGTTCAAACTCAAAATCAAATTGGTAGTTACACAGGATTCCTCGTTAGCATCCAACTAAAATCTAGTAACATAAGGATAATCTTCGAGGGAAGGGCTAATGACAAGCATCCTTCAGGAATTTTCTTATCTCACCGACAACGGCCTTATGCACAGAGGCTCAACTCGAAAGCGATTTATCATTTCCAAGGGCCACCTCCTTAGGCACTGAACGAAAACTATTATTTATCTCAAATCTGTGAATAGGCCCTCGTCAAAAAAAACTACCAACTAAAATCAATAAAATTCCTTTCACATCATGATTGCAAACCCATCCACAGCAAACAAATAATCAATAATTTAGGCCAATAAACGAACATCACAATCAAGATCTCATTCAAATCCAAAACACAAAAAGAATCATTTATCGAACGAAATACACTAACTCCTAAATCCGAAAATGACAATGAACTACAACAGAAATAATACAATATATTGAAAGAAGTAAACTTGCATTCAAGTACCGACTGAAAATCAAACCGCATCAAACAATAATCAGACAAACTTGCTACCAAATCAGAACTTGGAATCAACCTATAACAAAAATCAAAAATCTCATATAAAGAAATAAAACTTACTTCCAAATAAGCAGTCATGATCAAACTAAATAGATGACAACCTCATTAATAAACATAAAATTCAATCGCACCAAACTACACGTATGATTAACCACACAATGCAAGACATAATTGATATTCCTTTACGTAACTATCAACAACCTAGGCAAAACTCGTCGTTAGAAGTATCAATACCATAACTGCTTCTAGTCCTTATACATAATGATCAGCTCCTCGATAGTGGCCTTTGATAATATAGATGATTCCTCTAGTGCTGGTCCCTATAGATAGCCATCATCTCCTCAATAGTGGTCCTTGAGAATATATACGGTTTCTCTGGTGCTAATCCTTACGGATTTGGGTGTGGGTGTGGGTAAGATGAAGACTAAACCTCACACCGACACCGACATCCATATCCCACACCAATACCCTAACATGCATATGGTGGTGAAGATGATAGTTTTCTAGTCACCCACATCCACTGATGAGTATCGAAATTGTATGAAATATCAAAGTGGTTGATAGATGAAACTGATATCTTATTGTAATATGTTAAATAGCTACAACTATTTTTTGTGGACTTAAGACTTTCATTATTGCTTATCTTGAATAAAACAGAAGTGGTTAATCGAAAGAACAACGAATAAAATAATCTGTAAGTTATAGATATCAGAGGTTTGATTAAAATTGAATTTCGACAAATATTACTCGAAAATAGGAAAGAAAAATATTTGAAGAAAGTCCACCTAAAAGAAGATTTTTCTAAGATGTTGTTATTTGATTTAGTTAATGGTTACGAATTAAGAGCAAACAGCACATATTTAGCATTCAGGTTCTACGATTAGTTGTTTTAATTTGTTTGAAAATATGCTTCCTTGGGCATGAATGACAATCTGATGAATGGTCAACAACAAAAGTGCAGTTACAATC